TAAATGAGGGCTAGGTATGGGGGCACATGCCTGTAACCCCAGAACTTTCAGAGGCTGAGGCAGGCAGATTACATCTGGAGTTCCAGTCTAGCCTGGACAACATGGTGAAAACCCAGCTCTACTACAAATACAAAAATTAGCCAGGATGGTGGCGGGCTTTCATGGACTTTCAGCCTGGATTGGTCTCAAAATCCTGAGTTCAGCTGATCCACCCACCTCGGTCTCCCAAAGTGCTGAGATTACAGCATTAGACAGCGCTCCCAGGTACCTTTGTAAATATTTTCTTACCTTTAAAGCCCTACTAATAAAATGCAACTTATAGTTTAAAAAACTGAGGTCAAGATAAGTGAAAACAATTGTTTTCAATGTCACAAACCCAGGGAGTAGCAATGCTGATTAAAAAACAGATGTGTCTGACTCATGTGTCAAGTATGGCCATCCAATCACTTGAGAGATTCTCCCACCCCATCCTGTTCTAGGTGCTCAATGACCACCCTCTCAGGAGACACTGCACTATGCCCCAGTGAGTGGCCCAGGATCATGTCACTTTGTAAGTTCTTGTACCATCTAACTGGGGTCAGTTTTCTTTCTTAAAATTTTTGTCTTTTGAAATACTATTTTTTGGCTAGGTGTCGTGGCTCATGCCTGTAATCCTAGCACTTTGGGAGTCCAAGGTGGGTGGATAACCAGAGGTCAGGTGTTCAAGACCAGCCTGACCAACATGGCAAAACCCTATCTCTACTAAAAATACAAAAATTAGCCAAAAGTGGTGGTGGGCGCCTGTAATCCCAGCTACTCAGGAGGCTGAGGCAGGAGAATTGCCTGAACCCAGGAGGCGGAGGTTGCAGTGAGCCGAGATCGCACCATTGCACTCCAGCCTGGGTAACAAGAGCAAAACTCCGTCTAAAAAAAAAAAAAAAAAAAAAAAAAAAAAACAGCAACAACACCAAAAACTTTTATCTTTTTTTTTTTAATTTAAAATTATTAGAGATGGGGTGTCACCATGTTGGCCAGGCTGGTCTCAAACTCCTCACCTCAGGTGATCCACCCATCTCAGCTTCCCAAAGTGCTAGGATTACAGGCGTGAGCCACCGCTCCCAGCAAAAACTTGAATCTTTCACAAAATTTTCACTATTTTTAATTTCACTATTTCTCTGCACAGTTAGAGAATCCAAGGGGCAGAAATTTCTGTGTTTTTTACTAGCTTCTGATTGGCTTAACAGTAGTGTGTCTCTAAGAAATGGAGACTGGGTTGGATGAAGACAATCTTAATGTCTTTAAGAAACAATGACCGCCATTCTAACTGGCGTGAGATGGTATCTCAATGCGGTTTTGATTTGCATCTCTCTAATAACCAGTGATGATGAGCATTTTTTCATGTTTGTTGGCCTCATATATGTCTTCTTTTGTAAAGTGTCTGTTCATATCTTTTGCCCATTTTTGAATGGGCTTGTTTGTTTTTTCTTATAAATCTGTTTGAGTTCTTTGTAAATAAAAAATAAATAAATAAATAATAAAAATAAATTTAAAAAAACACTCATAATCCCATCGTCCAGAAAAAATAAGAATGACAAAAGGAGACTCCTCTCAGCCCTGGGGCAGCCACTGTCTTAAGAGGTTTTTAGGTTTTGCTGTTTGTAAAATAAATTAGGCCAGGCACAGTGGCTCTCGCCTATAATCCCAGCACTTTGGGAGGCCCAGGCAGGTAGATCACGAGGTCAAGAGATCAAGACCATTCTGGTTAACACGGTGAAACCATGTCTCTACTGAAAATACAAAAAAATTAGCTGGGCATGGTGGCGCGTGCCTGTAATCCCAGCTACTCGGGAGGCTGAGGCAGGAGAATTGCCTGAACCCAGGAGGCAGAGGTTGTGGTGAGCCGAGATCGCGCCATTGCACTCCAGCCTGGGTAACAAGAGCGAAATTCCATCTCAAAAAAAAAAAAAAAAAAATTAAAAATGACCAGGAGCTGATATCCACCAGACACTCCAGCAGATACAGCCATGGTGGGTATCTTGATTTATCCCCAGGCAGTACTGAAGCCCAGGACCAAGAACAAAACCAAAGGGTGGTTGAAGACATCTCACCTCATAGTTTCCAAAGAGAAACCTTAACCCAAAAACATTCTGATAAGATCTCTGTGCCTGCCAGGTGCAGTGGCTCATGCCTGTAATCTCAGCACTTTGGGAGGCTGAGGCAGGCAGATCAGGAGGTCAGGAGATCGAGACCATCCTGGCTAACATGGTAAAATCCTGTCTCCACTAAAAGTACAAAAAAAGAAATTAGCCGGGCATGGTGGCATGTACCTGTAGGAGAACCGCTTAAAGCTGAGAGGCAGAGGTTGCAGTGAGCCAAGATCAGATCGTGCCACCGCACTCCAGCCAGGGTGACAGAGTGAGATTCAGTCTCAAAAAAAAAAAAAAAAAAATCTCTGTGCCTGTAGAAGATAAAGCCAAAACAGGAACAATTATTTTTTTTACACTACAGCGTCAGGAAATATTTGATTTCTTCTCGTGGAAAGTATTTACAAATAGCAAACAAACCTTTTTAAAGTGCCATCCAATGCTTTGTCATAAAATGATTACTTAGGCCTGTGCAGTGGCTCACACCTGTAATTCCAGCACTTTGGGAGCCTGAAGCAGGCAGATCACCTGAGGTCAGAAGTTTGAGACCAGCCTGACAAACAGAGAGAAATCCCATCTCTACTAAAAGTACAAAATTAGCCAGACATGGTGGCACATGCCTGTAATCCCAGCTACTTGGGAGGCTGAGGCAGGAGAATCATTTTTTTTTTTTTTCTTTGAGACGGAGTTTCGCTCTTGTTACCTAGGCTGGAGTGCAATGGTGCGATCTCAGCTCACCGCATCCTCCGCCTCCTGGGTTCAAGCAATTCTCCTGCCTCAGCCTCCCGACTAGCTGGGACTACAGGCGCACGCCAGCATGCCCACCTAATTTTTGTATTTTTAGTAGAGACGGGGTTTCACCATGTTGACCAGGCTGGTCTAGATATCTTGACCTCGTGATCCACCCGCCTCGGCCTCCCAAAGTGCCTGGATTATAGGCGTGAGCCACCAAGCCCGGCCTACTTTAAAGAAATCTGACTCAAACGCATGTTTTTATAAATTACTGAATTGGGGGAAACAAAATTGAGGCTTAGCCAACTATAAACTGCCAATTAACCTCTGCATACATAACCAGGAAATGTCCACCTCGATTGTACAAATTAAGAAACTATGTAACTGTACCAAACCAATTAATTGAATTTGGTTTTCTTTATTACATCTTTTCTTCAATCCCCTTCTATGGACGTGTTAGGGTCACAGCAAGGCAATTCCATAGACACCCTCCCCGTTCTCCCCTGCTAAGCCGAGCTCACAGCAAAAACAGCCTCACGCCCTGCAAACTGTCAGGCCGGTATCCTCGCCCGGAAGGCTCCCTGATATTCCACACCCCTCCCCTCCTGCCGCTGTCTGCCCCGTACAGGAACACTGCAAGCCAACCACGCCCCGGCTAATGCAATCCTAGCCAGCTCTTGCACCCAAAAATCCCGCCCGACAACCCGCCAGCCAAGGGCGGCCCGCCCCGTCCCAATCCCGCTTCCCCGGAGCCAATCAAAGCGCCCTGCTGTTGCCCGTTTCACCATGCCATAAAAACCCCACGCCCCGGAAAGTCTGCGGGACTTCTCCGGCCCCTCGTTGTAATGGTTACTGCCGAGTTTAAAATAAGGAAACTAAGGCCAGTATAAGAACAATCAGATGCCAGTTTATTTACCTCCCGCGAGGTTCTGTGGTCCTAAGGAAAGGGGGCCAGGGAAGTCGCGCTTGACTTCTCAGGGCAGGGGGTTAGAGGCGGGCTGGCCTAGGATGCATGGGGTGGGCTGCCATTGGGTAAGGCTTGGCGTGATTTCTTCAATTTTCGCGGGTTCAGCTGTATAGTTTAGTGCTGAGAGTGCACAGTTTAGTGCTGAGGTTCAAATGCATAGCTTGGTGCTGAGAGTGCATAGTCTAGTGCTGAATACCTGGGGGCAGAATGCAGAAGTGGGCGAGGGGAGCCCGCATGGAGGAGCCAGATGCTGAGTAATGTGTTCTGCCTGAAACTGTTATCAGGCATAGAGAGGGGTGGGTGTTGTTCATCCGGCTCTTAGCAAGGCTATCGGCCGGACCGCAGAACCTCGCCCAGGAGCCGATTAAATTTCTTTATTTTAATCACTGGCCTCAGTTGCCTCATTTAAACCTCAATTGCTTCATTCAGACCTTACACAAACAGGGGCACCTGGGTTCCAGGATGTGGTCGCACCCGGCTCTGGAACCCAGGATGGTGACCCAATTAAGCAGGATGCTAGCGCTTAAGAACCAAGAGGCAGTTTTTCTTAGAATACCACTCAGCCACCTGCAAACTTTCTATATAACCTCCACAGTCTGTAAGCCAGGCTGCTGCCATCACTGCCTGTGGTGAGGCAGCCAGCCTGGCAGGTTGAAATAAACTTACTAATCCTGACTCTCCATCCTTTCGGTCAACCTCACAGGACGACAAGCTACCTCACAGGAAGACAAAGCATAGCTGGGTACGCTACAATTTTTTAATTACTATTTGATTAAATTATTGAATATTTTTGCGGTGACTTCTCTACATGTTTAATAGGAAAAAAGAAAGACTCAGAACCCAACAGACCAAAGCTCTTCCCATTCATGAACCCGCAACACGAGTCAGGATTCTCCTGTGTCGACCCTTCCGTGGTCCCTGCACAATCTAGGAGGGACAGGGAGCTGCGGGAGCAAAGCTGCCCAGAGAGGGCTCCAGGCAAGGGCACAGTCACTGCGCAGGTAAGGGACAGGAAGCCCGGCGCCCGGCCTCAGCGCAGCCGCCATCTTATTGCTGAAGGGCCCTGAGGCCAAGCTACTAGAGAACTCCGGACGCACATGGTGGAGCCACTTTGGGGAGGCCTGAGTCCCGCCACAGCCCCTTCCCCTCCCTCTCGGGATCGGACCCGGCACTCTCACCATTTCCAGGCTTCCAGGGGGTCCTGGCGTCATAGCTGTGGATCTCCCAATACCTGCAGGTCACAATGCCACAGAGGCTTGGCTTCTACAAGGAGAGGACACAGGGCAGGAAACACGAGACACAGCTCCCGCGGCTTCTAGAGACAAAGGCCCCTGCAAACCCGGAAGCTGCCCTGTCCCGCTCCAGCTGCGTGTCTGATTGGACGGTTTCCAGTTCACCGTCCTTGATTGGATAACGTTGAAGGCCCTGCCCCTTCAGGACCTGAATGACAGGAGAGGTAATCAGATGCTGGGCTCAATGAAGACTGAATGACAACCTAAGCTGCAGCCTTTTCAGGGACGGACTCCTCCCTGAGCTGAGCCGAGATAGCGCCGCTGCAGGCCTCTCTGAGCAGACAGAGCCAGACTCCATCTCAAAAAGACAAAAAAAAAAAAAGACTATCATACATTTAACCAATAGCGGAGATTCTGTGTCTCTTTGCAAAGTTTGGCACCCACATAACTTTCTGGGTCTTCTCTTTATAAAGACCATACAGAATTGGCATTCACTTGCGTACTGTGTAAAGCTCTTGGATGGTACAGACAGTGTCATCATAGAGCCTAGCACACAAGTGAGGTGTGTTTCTCATGTGCACAACACAGCAACCCTTAGGATTGGAACCCACCGACACAGAGCTCACTTCGGAGGTTCTTAATCTCATAAGTGGATACAGTCCACAGTTGAAATTGTGACTGTCATATGTGAATATCCAGCCAGACTTGAAATGGTAAAATAGTTTTAAACCAGCTCATAGCAGGTAAGAAATCTCTTATCCAGATTCAGCCAACTGGAGACATGTTGAGTCTCATACCTGAGCCCAGGACCACAGGTATGACCATAGGTCCATACCAGCATAAAGGTCTCAGGTATACATAGAGTATAAAGCCCTCAAGTGGGACAGAAAATATCCTAACACATCTCAACACACAGGTGAGATTGTGACACTCATATGCAGACCCAGCTGGCAGTAATGATTATCATCCTTCCACAGCCCACTGTTGAGATTCTGAATCTCAAAACCAATAAAAAAAGGCCAGCACGCTGGCTCACGCCTTTAACTGCAACACTTTGGGAGGCCGAGGTCGGGAGTTTGAGACCAGCCTGACCAACATGGAGAAACCCCATCTCTACTAAAAATATGAAATTAGCTGGGCATAGGGGCACACACCTGTAATCCCAACTACTCAGGAGGCTGAGGCTCGAGAATTGCTTGAACCCAGGAGGCTGAGGTTGTGGTAAGCTGAAATCATCCCATTGTACTCCAGCCTGAACAACAAGAGTGAAACTCCATTTCAAAATAATAATAATAATAATAATAAGTTTCAAAAGTTGAAAAATTGACTTTCATTCTTGAATCAAGTCTACAGGTAAGATGTGAATTTCAGAATAAGATTCAGCACATCTGAGACTCGAGAATCTGTGAGTCCACTAAGAAGACACAGTCTAGAGGACGAGTTGAAGGTCTCATGCACAGATCAAGTCCATGGCTGAGACTGCAACTCCAGAACATAGTTCCCACATAAAGGAGGTGTTAATTCTCATACCTGGAACCTCAACATGTGCAGGATGGTTCATCTCATTCATGGACCTTCCTGTAGCTGCGATTGTGACATATGCCTTATCTGGCACCTGAGTTTTTTGGCTCTCCTGCCTGGGCTCAGTCCACAGATTAGATTGTGACACATCACTGAACCCAGGATCTAGGTGATGTAAATTTATTCCTGCCTTGGCGCTCCTCACAGGGCGCACCGTGACATATTACTGCACCTAACACAGGGGAACCATAACCAGGTTGTGTGACTCTCCTGCCTGTGCCTTGCCCACACGGACCACTGTGACATATTGCTGGGTCTAACGTAACTCTCTTGCATAGGTCCTATCTACAGAAAGTATTGTAACACATCTCTGTGCCCATCACACAGGTGACCTAACTCTCTTTTCCTGGGGGGTATTGAAAGAGATGGCTAGCCCCGCATCTAGCTGATGTGACTCTTCTCTTCTTACTAGGTTTTGCCCATGGGGAGAATTGTAACATATCATTGGGCTCAACACCAAGGTGATGTTGCTCTTTTGCCTTGGCCCTGCGCTCAAAAAGCACTGAGACGTATTGCTGGTCCCAACAGCAGGTTGGTGTGTCTTCTGCCTGGATCCTGTTCACAAGGGCATTGTGATATACCTCTGGGCCCATCAACGATTTGATGTGTCTCGTCTGTCTTGCCTAGGCTTTCTCCATGGAAGATATTGTAACATAACTTTGGGCCCAGCATCTAGGCAATGTGACTTTTTCCTTCTGCCTGTACCATGCCCACAGAAGGGATAATGACTTATCACTAAGCCCAGCACTCATAATGTAATTTTCCTACCTGATCTTCCTGACAGGAATCATTTTGACATGTTTCTGAGTTCATTACCTAGTTGATGTGGCCCTTCTTATTTTCAGACTTGTTCAAAGTGGAGACTGCTACATATCGCTTGGCCCAGCTCCTGTACGATGTGACTTTCCTCTCATGCCTCAGTGCTCCCCACTGGAGTAATTTCGACATATAGCTTGCCCCTGGCTCTAGTTTATATGACTTTTCTCTTGCTCCTTAGCCCTGCTCACCTGGGGACATTATAACATATCTGAGCCCATCACCTAAGTAATGTGACTCTGTTGCCTGATCTCCTCCTCAGGGTGTATTGTTATATGTTGTCAGACCCAGCAACTAAGTGATATGACTCTTCTCTGCTGCTTGGGTTCTGTCCAATAAAAGATTGTGATGTGTCACCAGGCCCACGTTATGTGATGTCCCTCTCCTCCCTGGGCTGTACATACATTGCTACTGTGATATGGCTGGGTGCAATGTCTAGGTCATGTGAGACTCCTGTATGGGCCCTGCCCACAGGGGCATTATCACATGTCACGTTAGTTACCTAGGTGATGTCATTCACCCCTTCCTTCTGGGTCCTGACAAAAAGAAGGATACTGACTCATCACGGGACCAAGCACATAATGATGTGATTCTCTTCTTTTACGTGGGCCTTGCATAATTTTGTTATTGTGACATATTGCTGGGTCCAAAACCTAGGAGATGAGAGACTTTTGCCTTGGACATGACTACAGAGGGCTTTTTGATATTTCCCTGCATCTATCACCTGGGGGATGTTTCTCTCCTCTGCCTGCACCCTGCCTTCAGGGAAGATTGTGACATAACTCTGGGTCCAACAACCAGGTCATGTGTCTCTCCAGCCTGGGCATAGCCCCCCAGAAAGCACTGTGAGATATTGCTGGTTCCAGAAACTAGGTGATATGACTATGCCGACCATGCCCTGCTTTTAGAAGAAAATTGTAACATATCACTGGCTGAGTACCCAGGTAATGTGACTGTCCTGCCTGCACATTTTGTTGATTTGAAGTATGAGAGTTATTATCTCACCTATGAGCTGAACAAAAATACACTTTACAGTCCCAACTGTGCATAGAGAGTGAGCAAGAGAGTTACATGATTTTGGTGCTAGACCAGAGATATGTCACAATCTTTTCTAATAGCAGAAACCAGAAAGAAGAGTCCCCTCACCTGGGTTCTTGGCCAGGGAACCACCCAGAAACTGAGTGCTGTGCCCAGTGATAGGCCACAATGCTCCCTGTGAGCAAGATCCAGGAAAAGAAAACACATCACCCTGTTGCTGAGCCAAATGTTACATCACAGTCTTTCCTGTGGGCAGGATGCAGGCAGCAGAGGAGGGTCGCATCTCCTAGGTGATGAATGCAGACAGATGTCATGAGGCTCCTGAGAATGGTAGGGCTCATGCCCTGTTTACAGGGCATAGACAGGTACCTCCCATCTTCTAAGTGTTTGGTCTAGTGATATGTCACAGTACTCAAAATATGTGGGGCCTATACAAAATACAAGTGTCAGAATTACCTAGGTGCTATGTCCGGGAGTATGTCATCATCCCACATTTTGGGGGGCTGGGCAAAGAAAAACACGTCTAAACCATAAATGTAAAAGTATATCACAGCCAGGCACAGTGGCTTATGACTGTAATTACTTACAGTAGTTTGAGAGACTGAGGTGGGTGGGTCACCTGAGGCCAGGAGTTCAAGACCAGCCTGGCATACATGGTAAAACCCCATTTCTATTAAAAATACAAAAAAAAAAATATTGGCTGAGCATGGTGCTACATGCCTGTAATCCCAGCTACTCTGGAGGCTGAGGCACAAGAATCGCTTGAATCTGGGAGGCCTGATGATTAGGTTCAAGGCCAAATAGCAAAATATGTTGGTATTTAATCTGTTTTCTCCATATATAAACATTGCTGGTCAAGAGTGTGTACAGATGTGAAGACTTAGAGTTTTCATCTCCTTTGGCCCTATCGTCCTTTGTTCACTGTCTGATCTCTGGAAGGAAGGTGGGCTGAAGGTGGCCACAGTTGTCTACGTGTGGTTATTTTACTCCTGCTGCCCTCTGCTCTTTCTTTGGCCGCTATCTTTTCCATCCCCGAAACTGAAGAGAGATATCATTAGGAAGAGGCCCGTCCTTCACGCTGGCAGAATAAATTTCTTCAGGCCCTTCACTGCCCCACTTCAGTGTGGCAGCTACTGGTCATGTGTGGCTTCTGAGTGCCTGGAATGTGGCTGGGTCTACACTGTGATGTGCTAGAAAGACAAAATACAGACTTAGTTCCAAAGATATAGTTCCAAATATATACATGCTACATTAATAATCACACCTTGCTCATATAATATTTTGGATATATTGGGTTACCTAAATTGTTACAATCAGTTTGACCTGTTTCTTCTTTCAATTTTTGTTTTTTTTTTGAGACAGAGTTTCACTCTTGTTACCGAGGCTGGAGTGCAATGGCTCTATCTCGATCTCGGCTCACTGCAACCTCCGCCTCCCGGATTCAAGTAATTCTCCTGCCTCAGCCTCCCAAGTAGCTGGGATTACAGGCGCGCACAACCATGCTCAGCTAATTTTTTTGTAGTTTTAGTAGAGACAGGGTTTCACCATGTTGACCAGTATGGTCTTGATCTCTTGACCTCGTGATCCACCCACCGCGGCCTCCCAAAGTGCTGGGATTATAGGGGTGAACCACCGGGCCCGGCCTCAATTTTTTTTTTTAATTTTTAAATTACAAAAAAAATTTGTTTTTGAGAGGGAGTCTCGCTCTTCTTTCTTTTTAAAGTTTGGCTACTAGAAAATTTAAAATTTGCTGGGCACAGTGGCTCACGCCTGTAATCCTAGCACTTTGGGTGGCCGATGTGAGTGGATCACCTGAGGTCAGGAGTTCAAGACCAGCCTGGCCGTCATGGTGAAACCCCGTCTTAAAATAAAAAAAAAAAAAAAAAGAAAATTTAAAATTCACATTTGGCTCACATTTTATTTCAGAAGAGTGCCTCCTTCTTAAAATCTCAGCCTGATAAAAAAAAAGTCAGAAGCCAGGAAGGTCATAAAAGCTGAAATTTTGCCGGGCGCGGTGACTCAAGCCTGTAATCCCAGCACTTTGGGAGGCCGAGGCGGATGGATCACGAGGTCGAGAGATTGAGACCATCCTGGTCAACATGGTGAAACCCCGTCTCTACTCAAAATACAAAAAATTAGCTGGGCGTGGTGGCGCGTGCCTGTAATCCCAGCTACTCGGGAGGCTGAGGCAGGAGAATTGCCTGAACCCAGGAGGCGGAGGTTGCGGTGAGCCGAGATCGGGCCATTGCACTCCAGCCTTGGTAACGAGCGAAACTCCATCTCAAAAAAAAAAAAAAAAAAAAAAAAAAAAGCTGAAATTTAAAAATAATTGTTACTATGTTATTTTTGTTTGTGAATATCATATAATTTTTTGTTGTTGTTGTTGTTAATCAGTGAGAGTTTGTGATGTTCCTCAGATTGGCCTTGAACTCATGGCCTCGCCTCCTCAAGCGCCAGAACAACTGGCTGGAGCTACCGCGGCCCCCGATAATTTTTTTTCTTTTTTGAAACAGAGTCTCACTCTGTTGCCCAGCTGGAGTGCAATGGTGCGATCTTAACTCACTGCAATCTCCACCTCCCAGGGTCAAGCGATTCTCCTGCCTCGACCTCCCGAGTAGCTGGAACTACAGGCATGACCCACGCGCCCGGCCATATAATGTATTATGTATAAACGCATGAGACCTTATACACAAGGTTAAATGCAAATACCATCTGGGGTGGCCCTGGCTCCGCTCAGGGAGGAAGCCCTGCCTGAAAACGCCGCAGCTTAGGCTGTTACTCCGTCTTCTTTCAGCCCAACGTCTAATCACATCTCCTGTCACTCAGGGCCTGAAGGGGCGGGGCTGTAAACGTCTTCCAATCAGGGACGCCGGGCTGGAAACCTTCCAATCAGACAAGCAGCTGGAGCGAACATGGCGGCTTCCGGGTTTGGCGGGGACTTTGTCTCTGGCTGCGGTGGTAGCTCCAGGTCTCGTGTTCCCGGCTCTGCGTCCTCTTCTCCAGGAGGCCCAGTTCTGTGACCCTGTGACCTGCAGGTATTGGGAGAACCACAGCTAAAACGCCAGGACCTCCTGGAAGCCTAGAAATGGTGAGAATGCCGGATCCGATATCCCGAGAGAGCGGGGAGTGGGCTAGTTGGAACCTGTGGGAAGTGGCCGTAGCAGGACTCGGGCCTCCCCGCAGTCAGCCCCACAGTCTGCGCCTCAGTTCTCTTTGCCCAACTGGGTCTCAGTCCCCTTCAGCCATAAGATAGCAGCTGCACTGACAGCTGGCCGGGGCGTTCTGTCTCTTGCCAGCGTAGTGACTGCGCCCTGGTTTGAGGCCCTCTCCGGGCAGCTCTGCATCCACAGCGCCAGGTCTCTCCCATTTTGTTCAGGGACGACAAAAGGGTCGTCAAGGGAAAATCCTGACTCGAGTTGCGGGTTTTGTCACACGTGTCGCTCACGTAAAGAGACCACCAGGCAGGCTTTGTGTGGGCAACAAGGCCGTTTATTTTGTGCTTGGGTGCAAGCGGGCCAAGTCCGAGAAAGGGGTAGGCAAAGCGGGTAGAGAGGGAATTGGTTATATAGGTTGGGGCAAATGCTTAGGTAAAGGTGGAAATCTGTCTTGGGGAGTGGGAGGACATCACAGAATGCATGATTACAAGGTTAGGGGTTGGGAATTTACCTTGGGGAGGGGATTGGCATCACAGGATGCGTGATCACAAAGGTAGGGCCATTTATTACAAACAGGCATGATCGTAAGGGTGGGGAGTATCGGTTGCAGTCAAAAAGGAGGATGCAGTAGATTACATAGTTACAGGGGTGGTGGTTTTGAGAAACCCAATGTCCAGGGAGAAATTTTGGTAAGCCTGAACAGGAACGATGGTTACAGATTGCAGAGCAATTAGTCGAGGCAGTAACAGGTTGTTTTACTTCTTTCTGTGGCCACCTGGTTACTTGTGGTTACTTCGGACTTGTGGCTTCTGGGGACAATCTAGAGGTGTATGTGCGGGTCACCGAGGCTGTAATGGCCAGCCTTGGACTTGGAGGCCTAACAGGTTTATGAATGGGAAAAGCTTTGGTCTGTGGGGTTCTGAGTCACTCTTTTCTCCTATTAAAAATGTAGAGAAGTCACTGTAAAAACATTACAGAATTTAATCAAAGAGTGATTCAAAAATTATAGAGTACCCAGCTATGGTTTGTAGTTTGTCGTCCATAGGAGGGGCTTGAAGAAAAGCCTTTCATAAGCTGAGATAAAGAAAACCAAATTCAATAATTGGTTAGGACAGTTACATAGTTTCTTAATTTGTATGATCAGGGTGGACATTTCCTGATTATGTATTCAGAGATTAATTAGCAGTTTCTTGTTGACTAAGCCTCAGTTTGTTTCCCTCAGTTTAGTAATTTATGAAAACATGTGTTTGAGAGTTAGATTTCTTTAAAGTAGAAATCCAGGGACTAGAGCCACCTAATTGCCTGCCACTTAATTATTTTTCTTTTCTTTTTTTTTTTTTTTTTGAGACGGAGTTTCGCTCTTGTTACCCAGGCTGGAGTGCAATGGCGCGATCTCAGCTCACCGCAACCTCCACCTCCTGGGTTGAGGCAATTCTGCCTCACCTTCCCAAGTAGCTGGGACCACAGGCACGCACCACCATGCCCAGCGAATTTTTGTATTTTTAGTAGAGATGGGGTTTCACCTTGTTGACCAGGATGGTTTCGATCTCTTGACCTCGTGATCCACCCGCCTCAGCCTCCCAAAGTGCTGGGATTATAGGCAAGAGCCACCTCGCCCAGCTGATAAGTTTTAGATCTAATTCCAAAATTAGTGTGTTGTTATATTTTAATGTTTGAATTTATTAATTGGATAAATGTGTATCAGCCTAATTTTCTTTAGTTGTTTGTTTCTTTCACTTTTTGTAATTGACATAAGTAAATCTATTAATTGAGCTTATTTGTTTGGTAAGTACAAGGGAGATTTCAGAAGTCATGAGGATGTTTTTACATATAAATGTAGCAAACATGACAGCTCTTCTGAGTAAAACATGCTTATAATAAGTCATAAATATTTTTACTGGAGTTACTTTGTAACTTCAAGTCAGAGAGAGAAAATAGCAATGGTGAAGAAATAACATTAATTCATGATGTGGAGAGGACATTTATTTTCTGGCTGCAAAGCTGACTTGCTGAATTTAAACACAAATTCTGCTTCTTTTATTTTCTGATTATCTTCAGTTTTTTTTTGTTTTTTTTTTTTTTGAGACGGAGTTTTGCTCTTGTTACCCAGGCTGGAGTGCAATGGTGCGATCTTGGCTTACCACAACCTCCGCCTCCTGGGTTCAGGCAATTCTCCTGCCTCAGCCTCCTGAGTAGCTGGGATTACAGGCATGCACCACTAAGCCCAGCTAATTTTTTGTATTTTTAGTAGAGACAGGGTTTCACCATGTTGACCAGGATGGTCTCGATCTCTTGACCTCGTGATCCACCCGCCTCGGCCTCCCAATGTGCTGGGATTACAGGCGTGAGCCACTGCGCCTGGTCCTATCTTCAGTTTTGTGTTTGTGTTTGTGTTATCCTACTATGTATGCATCACAGCCTTTCTGCTTTTTCAGTGTTATGACTACAGTTTTTTCATTGTTGTCTTCATTTTATGTCATTTTACATGGTACTTTGTAGGTTCTAATGAGAAAGTTGGTATTCTTTAATGAACTGAAAAATTGGTTTTAACTGAAGATTTCCTTATCAGTATAACTTTCAGATTAGTTAACTTAGAGAATAGACATACACTGTTAACAGGCGAAAAGATTACATCAGTTAGATTTGTTTTTCTTTGTTAAAAAAAAAAGTTTTATTCTTACAAAACGCATGGCAAATATAAAATTTGTAAAAAATGTATTTTAGAAATTAGATTCTAAATAGAGTTAATGGTAAATGAGCAATTTTAAATTTAATTTTTTATGATATTTTTATAGCACAACTTTTGTTTCTATGCGATAAGTTTATAGCACAACTTTTGTTTCTATGCAGCATTTTTTTCCCCTTGTCTTTTTTGAGAAGAGTTTTGTTCTCACCTAGGCTGGAGTAAAGTGGCCCAATCTTGGCTCACTGTGACCTCCACCCCTGGGTTCAAGCGATTCTCCTGCCTCAGCCTCCCTACTAGCTGGGATTACAGGCTCCTACCACTACACCCAGTTAAGTTTTGTATTTTTAGTAGAGATGGGATTTCACCATGTTGGTCAGGCTGGTCTTGAACTCCGGACCTCATGATCCACCTGACTCGGCCTCCCAAAGTGCTGGCATAACATGAGTGAGTCACTGCTTCTGGCCTCAATTAATTTTTGTTTTGCCTGGATTAGCAGTTTTATGTCACTTTCTTCATAAGAATTCTCACAGTTCTTACCCAGCCCAAACAACTTGATCCTAAAATAATCAGAAGCATGTACTCAACTTGTCTTTTTTCATCTATTCATGAGCCTCCTTAATGGCACAGTACTCTGCCAGGCATGGTGGCTCTCACCTGTAATCTCAGCACTTTGGGAGCCCCAGGGGTGTGGATCATGAGGTCAGGACTTCGAGACCAATCTGACCAACATGGTGAAACCCTGTCTCTACTAAAAATACAAAACTTACCCAAGTGTGGTGGTGGGTGCCTGTAATATCAGTTAGTTGAGAGGCCAAGGCAGGAGACTTTTTTTTTTTTTTTGAGGCAGCTTGGCCTACCAACGTGTTGGGATTACAGGCATGAGCCACCATGCCTGGCCTCAAACATCATTTTTAATTTGGCAATGCTTTCCATGTAATTGAACATATCAAATAATTATGTCTATCATTCTTTTAAATGCTGCATTGGCCCTCTGTAGCATTCAAAAGTTAGGGGTTAAAAAAAGACAAAGCTAAAATTTGATTTTGGAAAACCTGTCAAATATGTCAAAGGATTAAAACTCTTTTTTGATATGTGTAGGCTATTTATGACTTTAAACCCTAAAACTACTGTTCCTGGTCCAGGCGTGGTGGCTCACCCCTTTAATCCTAGCAGTTTGGGAGGCCGAGGCAAGTGGATCAACTGAGATCAAAAGTTAAAGACCAGCCTGGCCAATATGGTAAAACCCTTATCTCTACTAAATATATATATGTATATTGGCTGGCCACAATGGCTCACACCTACAATTCCAGTACTTTGGGAGGCCAAGGCGGGTGGATCATGAAGTCAGGAGATTGAGACCATCCTAGCCTCTGTGGTGAAACCCCATCTCTACTAAAAATACAAAAATTAGCCGGGCATGGTGGAACGCACCTATAATCTCAGCTACTTGGGAGGCTGAGGCAGGAGAATAGCTTAAACCCGGGGATCAGAGGTGGCAGTGAGCTGAGATCGCACCACTTCGCTCCAGCCTAGGCAAAAGAGTGAGACTCTGTCTCAACAAGCAGACAATGAAAAACAAGAAAAAGTTACTGTGCCTGAAACAACCTCTTATTTGAATGAAGTGACTATATAGACAGATCTGCTAAGATGTTTCATTTTACTGAAGTTTAGCAAAAAATAGCTGAGTACATCTTGAAGTTGTCCTTTGATTTTTACAGTGGCAGAGCTACTATTCAAGATCTGAAAGTCAGAAGCAGCCATGGGGCACATCTCAGCAGCACACACAGAAATCATACACAGTGAATGCATTCCTCACCCTGAACCAATTGTTTTTAGTTCTGTCCCAGTCTGAATGTAAAAATCCCTTGGTGAGGGGGTTAAAAATTCCCTAAACACAAGTTGACACACTCAAATTAAATTAGAATTGCTTATGTAGAACCCAGGCAATAGTGTGGTTTAAATCTCTGTAGGTGATGACAGAGGGCAGCCAAGCTCAAATGCCACAGCTGCAAACCAGCATTTTTAGGTGACCTAGTTGTAAAGTATTTCTTAAATGAATGTAAAAATGTTTGTTACTAAGTCATGGCCTTTCAGTCTTCCCAGTATTACCAAATTATTATTCTTTACTGAACCAACCTTGCTGTTGGTTTTGTTCCTGAATCAACCCAGTTCCACATACACTTAGTGCACACTGTTCAAGGCATTGTGCTAGATGCCCCGTTACTGGTGATCATTACTGTGATGGAAAAATTTTCTGAAAAAGAAAAAAGGTGTATCGCTGAAAATTGAAAAACATGACCTGTGGCCGGGCGCGGTGGCTCACGCCTGTAATCGCAGCACGTTGGGAGGCCAAGGCGGGGGATCACGAGGTCAAGAGATCGAGACCATCCTGGTCAACATGGTGAAACCCCGTCTCTACTAAAAAAAAATACAAAAAATTAGCTGGGCATGGTGGTGCGTGCCTGTAATCCCAGCTACTCAAGAGGCTGAGGCAGGAGAATTGCCTGAACCCAGGAGGCGGAGGTTGCGGTGAGCCAAGATCGCGCCATTGCACTCCAGCCTGGGTAACAAGAGTGAAACCCCGTCTAAAAAAGAAAGAAAGAAAGAAAAAAAGAAAAACATGAGCTGTACGAAAATGAGGTAAAAATAAAAAGTCTTGGGTTTGGCTGGGCATGGTGGCTCACACTTATAATCCCAGCACTTTGGGAGGCCAAGGCAGATCACGGGGTCAGGAGTTCAAGACCAGCCTGACCAACATTTGTTGGTCGTCTAAAAATAGAAAAATTAGCTGGGTGAGGTGGTATGCTCTGTAATCCCAGGTACTCCGAGGCTGAGGCAGGAGAATTGCTTGAACCCAGGAGGCGGAGGTTGCAGTGAGTCAAGATCAAGCCACTACAGTCTCACTTGAGCAATAGAGTGAGACTCTTGGTCAAAACAAAAAACAGCCAGCCATGGTGGCTTTTTTTTTTTTGAGACAGTCTTACTCTGTTGTTGCCCAAGCTGGAGTCCAGTGGTGCAGTCTCATCTCATTGCAACCTCCGTCTGCCAGTTTCAAGCAATCCTCCTGCCTCAGCCTCCTGAGTACCTGGAGGACAGGCACACAGCATCACGCTTGGCTAATTTTTCTATTTTTAGTAGAGACAGGGTTTCGCCATATTGTCCAGGCTGTTCTCAAACTCCTGTCCTCATGGTCCACCCACCTCAGCATCCCAAAGTGCTGGGACTACAGGCATTAGCCACCACACCCAGCCAGTATTTTATTTTATGTACAGACAGGGTCCCACCAGATGGCCCAGGCTATTTGAGAGTCTAAGGTGGGAGTCATAAGTCTTATGAAGAAATTAAGAGAAAATGGTATTTATAAATATTTAGAGGCATTTATTTTGAGGCTATGTAAGCACACTGTTTCCTCTTTAGATTTCACCCACAATTTCTGCATTCCTAAATACATCTTGTCTACAGTAATTATTACTGCGGTGTCTAGTGGTGATTTTCTCTATTGCATGTCTGTCTACATTGATTACTACTTGGAATTCTGTAAAGATTTTTTTCTCTTTCCTCTTCTGTTTTCTTATTGAATTTTTCATATATCTGCATGAATTTGTGGATATTTCCTATATTGTCTGAGTTATAATGCAAGGCTATGATTATTTATTTTGTTTCTCACATTGTTCCAGCTTGGACTGCTGGAAAGTCTTTAAGGTTGGCTTCATTTGACATGTCTTCTTCTGTTGTTCATAAAGCACTTTTTAACTGTCTGCTTTCACAAGATACTCTGCCTTAACTTGCATTTTCCACTCTGGTACTATCTATTTTTATTATTTTTTTTCTTAGATGGAATTTCACCATCTTGGTAAGGTTGGTCTTGAACTTCTGACCTTGTTATTCACCCACTTTGGCCTCCAAAAGTGCTGGGATTACAGGTGTGAGCCACCACACCTGGCCTAGAATTACCTATTTTTACTATAGTGTTTTCCCTCTCATTGAGGAATAGTATTTAGCAACCATAATATGAGAGCTAGGTGGGCTCATTAATACTGGGGTGTCATGGCTGCTGTGGCAGCGAGGCCCACCTGTTCTGAAGATCTCTGCACTGGCCCTTACGAGCCTCCTGCCTGGGCTGAGCCCTGTGGCTCTGCCACGGCAGCAGCATAGGTGTCGCCTGGGGTGCAGGCTGGGTGGCGACAGTCCTGATCCTCGGCACGGACTCATGCTACTGCATTTACAGGCTGACACACAGTCAGCGGCAGGGCAGCTGCGGGCTCAGTCTGCACTCCTCACAGTCCACGGAAGACTTAACTGATGGTTCATATGATGATGCTCTGAATGCCGAACAACTTCAGAAACTCCTTTACCTGCTTGAGTCAACTGAGGATCCTATAATTATTGAAAAAGCTTTGATTACTTTGGGTAACAATGCAGCCTTTTCAGTGAACCAAGCTATTATTCGTGAATTGGAGGGTATTCCAATTGCTGGAAACAAAATCAACCATTCCAACGAGAGTATTAAAGAGAAGCCTTTAAATGCACTTAACAACGGGAGTGTGAATGTTGAAAATCAAATCAAGATAAAGATATACATCAGCCAAGTCTGTGAGGATGTCTTCTCTGGTCCTCTGAACTCTGCTGTGCAGCTGGCTGGACTGAGATTGTTGACAAACATGACTGTTACCAATGACCACCAGCACATGCTTCACAGTTATATTACAGACCGGTTCCAGGTGTTACTTACTGGAAGTGGAAACATGAAGGTCCAAGTTTTGAAAATGCTTTTGAATTTGTCTGAAAATTGAGCCATGACAGACGGACTTCTTCGTGCCCAAGTGGATGCGTCATTCTTTTCCCTTTATGACAGCCATGTAGCAAAGGAGATTCTTCTTTGAGTACTTACACTATTTCAGAATATGAATAACTGCCTCAAAATAGAAGGCCATTTAGCTGTGCAGCCACTTTCACTGAAGGTTCATTGTTTTTCCTGTTATATGGAGAAGAATGTGCCCAGAAAGTAAGAGCTTTATTTCATCATGATGATGCAGAGGTGAAGGAAAAGATTGTAGCAATAATGTCCAAAATCTAATCGGTCATATTTTTCCGAAGAGTAATGCAGTCTGGATATAAACGTATTTTCTATCTTCCTTATAAGGAGATTCTTCCAGCTGCTGAATTTAAACAGTAACTATCACATTTCATCATTAACACAGCTACAACTTGCCACAGTGTTCAGATTTATCTTGGGCTATTTTGATACCAAGTGAGTATAAGAGCTTGCCCTGAAACCATTTCTTTTTATTTTGCTATTTGCAATTATTTCTTATTTTCCCTACCTGAAGTGGCAGTAACTTTTTTCACAAAGCTACCCTACTTTCTGAAGTGATTTGCAGTTACTCATCTGAGACAGCATTAGAATGTGACTAAATCACTGTTTCAGAACTGTAGTAGGAATGGTCATGTTCTTTTAATAGCAATGAGATCCTAAGTTCTTGATGCCACTCACCTGCCAAACTGACCACACTGCTTTCAAGTCTCTTCTCTTGAATAGAATCTATTTTGATTACTTCTAGTCAATGAAAAAATGTAAACTTTTAGGAGAGAATGTTTCCTAGGACTCACCCACTCCCATTCAGTGCTCCAATATGTAAAGAAAGTTACATATAAAATACTGGGATCAATCACAATGTCCATCTTTAGGCAGTTGGTTAAATCAATTATCCAGTCTTTGAAAAGAGTTATGGAGGTCTGAATGTGCTGAATTGGAAAGATATCTATGTAATGTGGTGGGTTTTCTTTATAAAGACACAAGTTACAGAAGAACACAGGATCCCGTGTGTGTGTGTGTGTTTTTAAATGAAAAATGCATATTGACTGACACCTATAGAATGATACCCAAACTCCTGCAGTGGGAATGGGGAATGCCTTCTACATACACACTTCTACTGTGTGAATTTTTTACTATGAGCCGAAATTGTGTAATCTTTTTTTAAATAAAGAAGAAAATCACCCCAAAAAAAAAAAATACTGGGGTGTCACTCCTTCTGAACCCTTCAGCAGTTGGAGTATGAAAATGTACATATTAATACATTCATGTAGGAATAAATATTTTAATCTCTGCTTCCCTCTGTCAATGAATATTTATGAGACATAATTTGCCCAAATATTTCCAGCTAAGCATCGTAGCTCATGCCTGTAATGCCAGCACTTTGGGAGACTGAGGAAGGTGGGTTAGGGGCTAGGAATTTGAGACCAGCCTGGCCAACATGGTGAGACCCCATCACTACTAAACAGAAAAAATTAGCTAGGTGTGGCTGGTGCAGTGCCTCACACTTGTAATCCCAGCACTTTGGGAGGCTGAGGCAGGCAGATCATGAGGTCAGGAGTTTGAAACCAGCCTGGCCAATATGGCGAAACCCTGTCTCTACTAAAGATACAAAAAATTAGCTGTGTATGATGGTGCATGTCTGTAATCCCAGCTACTTGGGAGGCTGAGGCAGGAGAATCACTTGAACCCAGGAGATGGAGGTTGCAGTGAGCTGAGATCACACCATTGTTCTCCAGACTGGGTGACAGAGGGAGGCTTCGTCTCAAAAAAAAAAAAAAATTACCCAGGTATGTTCGTGCACATCTGTAATTTCAGCTACTTGGGTGGCTGAGTAATGAGAATCACTTGAACGTGGGAGGTGGAGGCTGCAGTGAGCCAAGAATGCACAACTGCACTACAGCCGGGATGACAAAGCAAGAATCTCTCAAAATGACAACAAATATTTGCAATTCCGGTCCAGCACTAAAGCACGTATTCTAAAACTCTCCGTTTCTTTTTTCGACTTCAAAGAAAAGCAGGCACTAATTACCGTGTGTAGGTAGCTACGTGGGTGTGTGTGTGTGTATGTGTGTGTGTGTGTGTGTGTGTGTGTGTGTGTGTGTGTATATATATATATATATATATGCCAACGTACAGTTTTAAAAATTGCTAATCCATTGGCTGGGCGCAATGGCTCATGCCTGTAGTCCCAGCACTTTGGGAGGCCAAACTCCTGACCTCAGGTGATCCGTGTGAGGTTGACAGAAAGGATGGAGAGGCAGATCCAGGATTAGGTTTAGCAAGTTTCTTTCAACCTGACAGGCTGGCTGCCTCACTACAGGCAGGAAAGGCAGCAGCCTGGCTTACAGACTGTGGGGGTTACATAGTGGGGTTTGCAGGTAGCCAGGTACTAGTCTAAGAAAAACTGCATCTTGGTTCTCAGGGGCTGACATTCTGCTTAATCGGGTTAACAACCTGGGTTTGAGAGCCGGGTGCGACCACATCCTGGAACCCAGGTGCCCTGTTTACAAGGCTTGAGGCTGTTTTGTTATAAGCTCAGCTTAGCAGGGGAGGGGGCCTATGGGCTTGCCTTGCTGTGACTCTAACAAGCCACCTGCCTTGGCCTCCTAAAGTGCTGGTATGACAGGCGTGAGCCACCGTGCCTGGCGGTTAAACTCTTTTTTTAAAATGTACTGCATTACCTCTAAATTTCTCAAAATCATGTTTTTGTTTTTTTGCAGCAATGTGATGTTCATAAGATTTGACAACTGTCGAGAATCACATACCCATTTTCAAAGTACCACACAGGACTGTTTCATTGCCCTAATTTTCTTTCTCCTCCATCTCCCCTTTCTTCTTTCCCACTTTCTTCTATCTCCTCTCTCCTCTCCTGCTTTCTTTTTTTTTTTTGAGACAGAGTTTCACTCTTGTTGTCCAGGCTGGAGTACAATGGTGCAATCTCATCTCACTGAAACCTCCACCTCCCAGGTTCAAGTGATTCTCCTGCCTCAGCCTCCCAAGTAGCTGGGATTACAGGCATGTGCCACCACACCCGGCTAATTTTGTATTTTTAGTAGAGATGGGGTTTCTCCATGTTGGTCAGGCTGGTCTTGAACTCCCGACCTCAGGTGACCCACCCACATCAGCCCCCCAAAGTGCTGGGATTACAGGCGTGAGCCACCAAGCCTGGCCTCCTCTTCTTCTTTAATGTCTTGCTATGTTTCCCAGGCTGCTCTCAAAATCTCTGGGCTCAACAACTCTTTGTGATGTAAGCTTTCTTTTTATTTTTTTTTCCACTGGAAAGTCGTAATTATATAATCAATGTAGAAAGAAATGTATACAATATTGCAGCAGAAAATATTGGGGTATTGTCACACGACCAGGAAAGATTAGTCCCACAGACACATAGAAGAGTGAGGAGTAAAATTACTGAATAAGAAGGAAAAAACACTCAGCAAAGTGAGGTACAGTCCTGCTAAAAGGCTCTCCTAATAGCCGAGGTTGACTGGATGGCTCTCATTTAGGCTTGTCTGCGGTGGACCACACGGCTCTCGCCTAGCCATGTCTGAGGTCGATCATCCGTCTCTCACATAGCCCTGTCTGAGTTCCACAAAATGGCTCTCATCTTGCCTTGTCTGAGGTCTACCGAAGCTCTCGTCTAGCCAAGTCTCAGGTCGACTCCGAGGCTCTCGACTGGTCAGCCAGTCTAGGTAAGCCACCTCTACCTCTACCTCCACCTCTTCCCTTTTCTTCTTCTCCCTCCCCTTCTCCTTTTCTGCTTCTTCCCCCGCCCCCCCTTTTTTTTTTCCTGCTGAAAAGCCGTAATTATATAATTGGTGTCGAAAGAAATGCATAAAATATTGTTGTAGAAAGTACTGGGTTCTTGGCTGGGAGCAGTGATTCATGCTTGTAATTTGAGCACTTTGGGAGGCCAAGGCAGGGAGAACACCTGAGGTCGGGAGTTCGAAACCAGACTGATCAACATGGAGAAACCCCGTCTCTACTAAAAATGCGAAAATCAGCCAGGCATAGTGGTGCATGCCTGTAATCCCAGCTACTCCAGAGGCTGAGGCAGGAGAATCGCTTGAACCTGGGAGGCAGAGGTTACATTGGGCCGAGATTATGCCATTGCACTCTAGCCTGGGAAACTCCGTCTCAAAAGAAAAGAAAATACTGGGTTCCCTCCATGCACGGTGGTGCATGCCTGTAAGTCCCAGCTACTTGGGAGGCTGAGGTGGGAGGATCACTTGAGCCCAGAAATGGAGCAGGTCAAAACTCCCGCATTGATCAGTAGTGGGATCGCGCCTGTGAATAGCCACTGCACTCCAGCCTGGGCAATATAGCGAGACCCCTGTCTCTTAAAAAGCAAAAGAAAATACTGGGTTCTTGTCACACAACCAGGCAAGATTAGGCTCGCAGACACACAGAAGGATGAGGAGTAAAATTATTGAATGATTAATAATTCATTCAAATCAGCCTGTCCACCAAGCTGATTTGATCCCATGTCTTCACACAGAAACAGGAAAGGCCAGACTCCTCCCCGCTGCAAATGGCATAAACTTCACAAGTCTTCACCCTGTCTTCCCAGTATGCAGGCGGGTTGGAGATTCTTCTGGAACCTTTTGTTACTTGGCCATTTCATTCTCCTGTCTAAAGAAGTACATCTCGGCCCTGCACGGTGTCTCATACCTGTAATCTCCAGCACTTTGGGACTCACATGGGGTCATGAGGTCAAGAGTTCAAGACCAGCGTGACCAACATTGTGAAAGCCTGTCTGTACTAAAAATACAAAAATTAGCTGGGCGTGGTAACCCGCACCTGTAATCCCAGCTACTCAGGAGACTGAGGCAGGAGAATCGCTTGAACCGGGGAGGCAGAGGTTGCAGTGAGCCGAGATCATGCCACTGCACTTCAGCCTAGGCGACAGAGTGAGACTCCATCTCAAAAACCAAAAAAGTACATCTAACTGCCATTAGAATGAGGATAAGGGTGAAATCCGATTTGATTTTAACTGCTTTCTGCTGACAGGGGGCGCTGTTTTGGAAAAGCAACAGTCAGATCTCCCTCAGAAGCCTATCTGTGGGTTCCCAGCAAAAGTGGCAGTTGTCCGAGGCTCCCAGTTGCATGACCATTTAAAGACTGATGGCCTGAAGGCAAGAAGAGACAAACCAGGTTATTAGAAAACACGGATCAAAGTGAAACAAGGGGAGTAAGGACCGCTGAAAAATACCAAGACATTTTACCACTTCGCACAGGAAGAAGGATGCTAAAATCTTGACTGGTTAAAAAAAACTTGTACCCTGGCTGGGTGAGGTGGCTTATGCCTATAATCCCAACACTTCAGGAGGCCAGGGCAGGTAGATCCCCTGAGGTCAGGAGCTCAAGACCAGCCTAACCAACATGGAGAAATGCCCCTCACACACTAAAAATACAAAAGTAGCCGGGTGTGGTGATGTATGCCTGTAATCCCAGCTACCTGGTAGGCTGAGGCAGGAGAATCCCTTGAATCTGGGAGGCAGAGGTTGCAGTGAGCCAAGATCATGCCACTGCACTCCAGCCTGCGTAACAAGAGTGAAACTCCATCTCAAAACAAAAAAAAACCAAAAAACAGACTTAATATGCACAAACAATGATAAATCAATGGGACAACCCCCAGACATGGTTTGTGGTTTGGGGACTACCTGAGAGTCTTCGAGAACAGGTTTCTATAAGATGTGAGAGGAAGCAAAGCAAATTAAATAACTGGGCACAGTAGGTGGTCACTTCATTTGGAATGCCTGGGAGAAACTTTTCAGGTTATGTAATCAGGGATTAATTGGAACTATATAGTTGATTAAGCCTGAATTTTGTTTTCCCTAAGTAGTAACTTACAAAAAAATGCGTTTGAAATTGATTTTGTTGTTGTTGTTGTTATATAGGAACCTGGACCACTATAGCCACTTCAGTCTAATCATCTGCTATTTAATTATTTAAACTTTAATCAGAGGCTCTGGTGTCCCCCTGCATTTTCCAAATGTGTGGCAAGCAGAGTCTCAAATCCACTACTCTGATCTGCCAGCCTAACTTGGTTTGTAGTGAATTTTTTTTTTTCTTTCCTGAGACAGAGTTTTACTCTTGTTGCCCAGGCTGGAATGCAGTGGCACGATCATGGCTGACCGCAACCTCCGCCTCCCAGGTTCAAGGGATTCTCCTGCCTCAGCCTCCTGAGTAGCTAAAATTACAAGCGGCCACCACCATGCCCAGCTAATTTTTTGTATTTTTAGTAGAGACGGGGTTTCACCATGTTGACCAGGATGGTCTTGATCTCTTGACCTAGTGATCCACCCGCCTCAGCCTCCCAAAGTGCTGGGATTACAGGCTTGAGGCACCGTGCCCGGCCAAAACAATTTTTTTGAGAAGAAGTCTCGCTTTGTCACCCAGGCAGAAGTACAGTGGCACAATCGTGGGTCACTGCAACCTCTTCCTCCCAGGTTCAAGCAATTCTCCTGCCTCAGCCTCCTGAGTAGCTGGGGTTACAGACACATTCCACCACGCCTGGATAATTTTTTTTTGTATTTTTAGTAGAGACTGGGTTTCGCCATGTTAGCCAGGATGGTCTTGATCTCCTGACTTCGGGATCCACCAACCTAGGCCTCCCAAAGTGCTGGGATTTCAGCTGTGAGCCACCACGCCTGGGCCTATTAAATATTTTTTATAAAAATTGATGTTTATTGTCTGAAAGGGATAAACACTTGTTTTTTTTGAGATATAAAATATAAATGCCTTACAATTCAATTCCCTTTCATAAACACTGAGTTTGAGTGATTTTGCTGGATTCTTCAAACACAGAATTTTTGTTTACATTTTTGAGATGGTGTTTCACTCTTGTTGCCCAGGCTGAAGTGCAATGGTATGATCTCAGCTTACTGCAACCTTCGTCTTCCAGGTTCAAGTGATTGTCCTGCCTCAGCCTCCCCAGTAGCTGGGATTACAGGTCATGCGACCACACCCGGCTAATTTTTTTATTTTTAGTAGAGATGGGGTTTCACTATGTCGGCCAGGCTGGTCTTGACCTCCTGACCTCAAGTGATCCACCTGCCTCGGCCTCCCAAAGGGAATTTTTTAATATAAAACCAAGTGAACAACCCTGATTGGAAAATGGACACCCAAGGTCAGTGACTCCAAGCCAAGGCCAATCTTGGGTCCAGAAGAGGAGATCATTGAATACCAAGTTGGTTGTTTATTCCTAGTGAGCTTCCTCTGCAGGTGTCCCAGCCTGCTCACACCAGCCATGGAAGGATTCTTTATACTGAGAGACGTTACAGAGCCCTGGAAAGCTGGGAATTTGCTGGCAGATGGAGTTAGAGTAGGGATAGAAGGAGTTGGGGAGCCTCTTTCTGAGGAAGGACTTGTTACTGTCCTGGGGCTCTTGCTAGATTTTGTTAAATAAAATACATTTAAATTTAGGGAAAAAATTGATCCTAAAAAAAGTGTATTGTGACAAGGGAAAAATACTAACCATAAGATCTCCGAGAATCTCAAAGAATAGGCAGAAAAGGGCTGTCCCCCAGGCTGGAGTGCAATGGTGCGATCTCGGCTCACTGAAACTTCCGCCTCCCAAGTTCAAGCAATTCTTCTGCCTCAGTCTCCTGAGCAGCTGGTACTACAGGTGCACACCACCATGCCCAGCTAATTTTTGTATTTTTAGTAGAGACAGGGGTTTCACTATGTGTTTGAGGCCAGCCTGGACAACATAAAAACCTCATTCATTTAAAAAAAAGCCCAGGCACAGTGGCTCACACCTGTAATCCCAGCACTTTGGGAGGCCAAGGTGGGGGGATCACGCGGTCAGGAGTTCAAGACGAGCCTGTTCAATATCGCAAAACCCCATCTCTACTAAAATACAAAAAAAATTAGCTAGGTGTGGCTGTGTGTGCCTGTAATCCCAGCTACTCGGGAGGCTGAGGCAGGAGAATTGCTTGAACCCAGGAGGCACAGGTTGCAGTGAGCCGAGATCACGCTATTGCACTCCAGGCTGGGTAACAGAATGAGACTCTGTCTCAAAAAAAAAAAAAAAAAAAATACAAAAATTAGCCAGGCATGGTGGTAGGCAAATGTAATCCCAGCTACTTGGGAGGCTGAGCAAGAGAATAGCTTGAACCTGGGAGGCAGAATTTGCAGTAAGCCAAGACCTTGCCATTGTACTCTAGCCTGGGAGACAGAGCTAGACTCCGTGTTGGAAAAAAAAAAAAAAAAAAAGACAAGGTCTCACTTTGTCATCCAGGCTGGAGTGCAGTGGTGTCAACACTGCCCAGACCTCCTGGGCTCAAGCAATCCTCTCACCTGAGTCCCTCTAAGTGGCTAGGACTATAGGTGCACACCACCTACCTAGCTAATTTTTGTATTTTTGTAGAGACAGGGTTTCACCATGTTGCCCAGGCTAACCTTGAATACCAGGGCTTAATCCATCCATCTGCCTCAGCCCCACAAAGTGCTAGGATTACAGGCATGAGCCACCACACCTGGCCGGATGAGGGATTTTTAAAATCACAGCTATTTACCCACCAGTATCTCTTGTTCTATGCATCTCTTCCATTGAGCTGTTCCTGAGTCATATCTTTTATAATAAACTAGTATATATAAGTTCAGTGCTTTCCTGAGTTCTCCGAGTAGTTCTGTCAAATTATTGAACTTGAGGAGGGGCATGTTTGTTAGGAGTAGTTCAGAAATA